ATTGAGAACCTATGAAAAGCAGGTAAATGATAATATTTACCTCACAGGAAAAAAAACAGGTAAATTGGGTTTGCTCAGGTTTAGCCTTGGTTGCACATACCTGAGAACTGCTTGTATGGATCCCTGGGTTTTTGGTGTAAAGGGTGTCCATCAGGATGGTTGGCTGTCGTGTTGAGCAGTATGGCTTGTGCTCTGTGCCGCCTTGCTCACAGGATGAGAGGTGTGATGGGAAGTCATGAGTGAAAGGAACTCTGAAGTTGTTTTCTTATTATTAGGCCAATATACCTTGGTATTTTGAATAACAAAGGGAGAAACAGTATGAGGAGAACATAATACAAATTCTGTCAGTTCTTACTTGATTTTCACTGATCTAAGTGCAGGGAAACATTTTATCTGTCAAATGAAGGTCTGTAAGTAGTGGGACTAGGAAAGAGCAAGCATTAAATTTTCCCTCAGTGTGAGTCACCCCAGATTGTTCATGGCAGTCCCAGCATGTTGTTAATTACATCTACGTCTTGCAATAAAAAAAAGTCATGGGATTATTTTCCTTCTGCAACACTGGGGTTTTTCCTTTCTTCTCTTAACCCCTTGCCATCAGCCCAAGAACAGTGGGGTAGGTGGGCACCAACCCTTGGGTGAGATTGTATCTACCCAGTGCAGGGAAGGGAAGGTTTACTGTCAAATACAGGCTTGAGGAAGGTTGATCATAAGTCTTCCATGGTGGATGCAGGGCTTTCAGGAAGGGAGATTGGCTGAAAATACCAAATTGAGACAATGGGGCAATAACCTGTTTGGATGCAATTCTCTTGTTCCAGACAGGTGTTAATCTTCTGTAAAGCAGATGAGGTTTATCTAAATTATCTAAAGAAGGTGAAGTGTAGAAAACCCTACAGCATTTCAGGTCAAGATTCAGCAAAGCACTTCAGTGTGTTAAATTTTTATTAATTTCCTAACTTTTCTCTTAGCTTTGGGATCTTAGCAGGAGGGCACATCTAAATGTTAGCAGACAGACCTGAGCGGAGTCTGCCTTTGCTCTGAGCTGGTGGTTCCTGGGCCAGCCCCAAAGCTCAATAGCAAGCTACTGTGCCTGGCTCAGAGGCACATAATGAAATACATGCTATGTAAAATGATAAGGGGTATCTGGTGTGTGATATCAAGTGTGAATGATTTTTCTGTTCTATTGTATTCCTCAAATACATATAAATAGAAAGCCCATAGAGCCATTCATAATTAAGCACTGGCATGTTGTCCATTCTCTTTCTATCTTTCTTTTTCTTCCTCACTGTACGATAAGTTTGTGTCCTAGAAGGTTTCAAGGATTCTTGTGGGAGTGCAGGAAACCCAGTTGCCTGCCAGCTCCTTTTCTTTCTCTCTCTTGCTGTCCATTTTAAGACTTATTCATGCACTAAATAAGAGTGCAGTTTTCATACTTCGGGCCAGTTAGTTTAGGCTTATTCTAGTGGTGATGAGAATATCCTGTATAGTAGTAGCACTGGACTGACCACATATGCATGGTGAGGTTGGTGTTTTCTAAGTGTGGGCATGCTGAGCACATGCTACCCAGCCATCTACCTGGGGAGTTCCTCTGGCTCCTGGGATAGAGATCTTACTGGGGGCTGGCTGCTGCCAAATGTATTCTTCAGCCTGCTGCTCTCTCCAGAGAAAATCTTAGGGAAGGGGGGGTAGCTACAGGTGGGCTATGAGACACACTGTCCTAGGGGCCATGCTGTTATACATCACTGCATCCTAAGGATGTCACAGCCTCTGAATTCAGCTACATCCCAAGCTGTCTACCCCCTAGAGTAGTTAGCTCAGAGTGGGGAGAGCCTTGGGCTCCTTTGATCTCATCTTCTTGGTTTGGCTATCCCAGCACCCTGGTTGCACACTATGGGGTTCCTGTAGCAGCTGCGGTGCCTTCAGGTAGGGTCTTCTACTGTACTGGGATCAGCAGTAGAAATAAGGGGCAACTCCACACTTCTAGCAAGTAGTTTTTGTTAGAACATTGCTGGTACCAAGTCTGTGTGCCTAGGCTCAGCATGCAGGTCCCTCTCTATCTTGGTCCAAGGTGATTTTCTCCATGTACTACACCATCTCCCTTGGTGGTTCTTACTCTCCTGCCTTAGGGGAGATGGGCTTTAGGATGGGAGTTACTGTTTCCACTTCCACATCAGCAACTCTCTCTCATAAGGAAGTTTAAGTAACATGATTAGTGGTGGTAGGTTGAATTCCTTTTTGGTTTGGGTTGTTGGTTTTGCCTTTTTTCCTCTCTCCTGAATATGTTAAAGGAGAGACTGAGACAGTTGCACTAAGCATAAAGCTATACACTACTGTATTTTCCAAACCATCACTCAGGAATCTACTGCTGGGCTGCGTATGGCCTGTAGTTCATGGGCAGCTGATTGACCACTTCAGCTTTTACTAATATGTTTTATTTAATAATTGCAACAGGCCTGGAGCCTCTTGGTCAGCTGCTGATAGCCTGATTGTCTTTAATTGTGCAAATACACTCAGATATTTCAAAATTAAGGCATCTGGGTGATAGAGAAGTGGAGTGGAAGATGGCTACAAGTGTGTATATATGCATACACACACAGTTATGCTTTCTGCTGTTGACAAACCCTTACATAGGCACTAATCTACCTGAGATTAGTCTTTCATATCAGGCCTTTGCAAATGAGGTTACTTGCAAAAGGAAGTTGTAAATAACTATAGAATTATGTGGATTGGAAGGGACCTTTAAAGGCCATCTAGTCCAACCCCCCTGTAGTGAGCAGAGATGTCTTCAACTAGATAAGCTTGCTCAAAGCACCATCTGTCCTGACCTTCAGTGTTTCCAGGGATGGGGCATCTACCACCTCTCTAGACAACATGTTCCAGTGTTTTACCACCCCCATAGTAAAAAATGTCTTCCTTATATCCAGTCTGAATCTACCCTCCTTTAGTTTAGAAACATTACCCCTTGTCCTATTGCTACAGGCCCTGCTAAAAAAACTTTCCCCATCTTTCTTATAGGCCCCCTTTAAGTACTGAAAGGCTGCAATAAGGTCTTGTTGGAGCCGCCTTTTCTGCAGGCTGAGAAACCCCAGCTCTCAGCCTGTCCTCACAGAAGAGGTGCTTCATAACTCTGATCATCTGTGGCCCTCCTCTGGACCTGCTCCAACAGGTCCATGTCTTACTGTGGTCTCCAGAGCTGGATGCAGTACTCCAGGTATACTAGAGTAGAGAGTCAGAATTACCCCCCTTGACCTGCTGGCCACGCTTCTTTTGATGCAGCCCAGGATATAGTTGGATTTCTGGGCTGTGAGTGCACACTGCTGGGTCATGCCAGCTTTTGATCCACCAGTATCCCCAAGTCTTCCTCTGCAGGACTATCCTCAACCCCTTCATCTCCCGGCCTGTACTCATACTGGTGGTTGCCCTGACCCGTGTCTGCAACCTTGCACTTGACCTTGCTGGACCTCAGGATGTTCACATGGGCCCAATTCTCGAGTTTGTCCAGAACCCTCTGGACAGCATCCCATCCCCTAGGTGGGTCAACCACACAACTTGGTGTGGTCTGCAAACTTGAGAGTGCACTCGTTCCCACTGTCTGTGTCACTGATTAAGATATTAAGCAGTACTTGTCCCATACAGAGCCCTGACGGACACCACTTGTCACTGATCTCCATCTGGACGTTGAGCTGTTGACCACTACCATCTGGATGTGACCATCCAGCCAGTTCCTTATCCGCTAAACAGTCCACCCATCAAATCTGTATCTCCAATTTAGAAAGAGGGATGTTGTGGGAGACCATGTCAAAGGCCTTGCAGAAGTCCAGACAGATGACATCCATAGCTCTCAATTGCAATGGTTGGCCTCCCTCTGTCTCTGCTCTCTAAAGCTACAGACAGAAGTGATTGATGAGCTTTGGTATTCAAAATGTTTCCCTTAACAGCTGAATCCTGTGGGAGATTCCTCTTAGAGCAGCTTTCCTCTGTGGTGGACTCTCCTGACAAGATCGCAGATGGCTTTTGGTCTCTGAGTGTCATGACAAACATCTAGTTAGGTCTATTTTTACATCTGAAATATGTTGAAAGATGCTATGGTGACAGAAAGCAGTACAGTAAGATTTGAAAGTAGTCTATACAGGGTAATGCTTTTGGGGACAGTATGCATTTTCCTTCCTGTTCCTGAAATTTCTTGTCTCTAAAATCATAAAACTTTAATTAGCACCAAGAAAATAGTTATGACCATACAAAGTTTTAATTTTCTCTTTTTGCAGCAAGATTGAAATTCTGTGCTTTATAGCTGCTCTGACGTGTTCTTTTCAGATTTTAAACTAAATCTAAATCAGAACAGGCTTCCAAGGCATGAGAGAAAAAGCACTTTGGCATGGGAAGAAGGTCTTGGGGGAATTAATTGAAGAGGGCAACCAGTGGCTAAAACCTCAGCTGCTTAATTACTGGTTATGGTGGGAATTGGGCAACTGACGGTTATGACGAGAATGTACCTGGGTTTAGCACTAATGTCAGTTCATGGAGATTACAGATGCCAGGTTTCATTGCGAACTGCGTTGGCCCCTGTGCATAATCAGGATCCTGGCTGGCAGATCAGCTTCATCGGACCTGCTGGCCGTGCTGACGTGGCCTCTCACGGTTTGGGAGGTGATGGGTTCCCGCTCAGCACACAAGTGCTGCAGTGTCTCCTTTCGTCTCTGCAAGTTGCCACATCCTCATAGCTTTGACTGGCTTGGCCGCATCCTTGCAGCCTGCGAGGCTGGGGTGCTGTGGCTGGCGTTTTGGCACTTGCAAAACGGGCCAAGCTTGACTTGCTTGGGTGCAGAGCTGCTGTTTGCTCTGGTTTTGGAAAGCAAGGGGTGGGATGTTACTTGTTTATCACCTTTCTCTAGGTGGAGACAGCCAGGCCTTTGAAGCTGGCTGCTCCTAAAAGTCATGGTGTTTGAGGTAGGATGGTGATGTGATCTATTAATTTTCATCTCTTGTCTTTTTCTGCATTCCAGGAAGGGTGCTTGTGGCCTTCAGAAAGCTCGGTTTCACGCCAGGTTGCTTCAGAGGTACAGACGGATCTCTTATTTTCTTCACAAATGTGTTTTCCTCTTTCCTGTTATATATATTTGGCTCCTCTCAAAAACATGTAGCTATTTTGTAAATAAAGCTTTTTTTCGGTGTAGACTAGGAGCCAGGTTCATATGGGCATCTGAGCCTGCCCTAACTCCCATTCCATAAATGCCTAAGACTTTTTGATTAGAAGAATTAAATTCTTCCTATCTGATGCCTCATCTCTGTCCGCAGCTCCCTGTAGCATAGTAGGCATTCACAGGTAAGTGGTGGAAGTGTCTCGTGCAGTGGCGTAGTAATTTGAGTATTCAGTGAAATCAGTGAGACCAGTTGCTCTTCTCCCAGTGTGTTTTCCTGGATTTACAGCACATATCCTATTGCCAGTGTCTCTTGTCATCCAGCTAGGACAGGTCCCTGGTCAGAGTGTTAATCTGTGGATGTGTTGCTTCAAGTGGCCCAGATCACCTGCGGGAAACAGTGAATCTTCCTGGTAGCTGACCTTGCATCTCTGAGGGTCAGGGGGTAAGACCCTTCATGGACCTGAAAATGAGAACAGTTTGATAGATCTAGATCCAAGAAGCTGATGTGTCTGCCTGGATCTGGGATAGACCAAGTGAGGAGCTTTAAGTCCTTGCAGAGTGTCTTGAACTCTTCCTCTTGTAAAGCCTGACCTCGTCCAGGGCTTAATATGCCAGGGACATTTTTTCCAGTGGCAGTGCAGAAGCCTTGCACGTCCTCCCCAGAGGCTGAGTTCTGGCTGAGGGCTGGGGTGGAGGAGGATACCTGATACATGCTGGTAGTGAAGGCGTGAGATATGCCAAGCCTTTACGAAATGTACTGATGTGACCATCTGAATTCTTTGGTGATGCCGGGTATTGCATTAACTTGGAGTAGGAGGGGGAGGCTCAGACTGTAGCTGAAGTTCAATACTGGGACATTTTTGTAGAATGGGTTAATTGTCAAGACTAGAGAGAAGGTCTTTTGTAAGTACAGAAACAGAATTGTTTTCTCTCAGCTCTGCAGGTTTTAATGTCAGAATGAGCTGTGTGAGGTGTTGGTCTTCCTTGATGGAGTTTTCTCGGTTATCTTGTGTGAGATCCTTCCTGCACCTCCTGCCTCTTCTTTCCACATGCATGTGTGGGAGCATGAGTGCACAATACCTGCTGGGTTAACCTTTTAAGATAGGTGGCAAAGAGAAGTATTTTCTGTTTTATCAATTCTTTGTAAATACGGAGCACCCACAGGGCTTTGCTTGGGCAAAGTGTCACTTGTCTCGTTAGCAGTCACGTATCTCTTTCTTCCCATTTCAGATCATGTATGCTCCAAGGTCCAGGGACAGGTTTACCGCCCCATCCTTTATGCAGCGAGACCGTTTCAGTCGCTTCCAGCCCACGTACCCTTACATGCAGCATGAGATTGACCTTCCTCCGACCATCTCCCTCTCTGATGGGGAAGAGCCGCCGCCGTACCAAGGCCCGTGCACCCTGCAGCTCCGGGACCCAGAGCAGCAGATGGAGCTCAATCGGGAATCTGTCAGGGCACCGCCCAACCGAACCATTTTTGATAGCGACTTGATAGACATCTCGATGTACAATGGGGGCCCCTGCCCACCAAGCAGCAATTCGGGCATAAGTGCAACCAACTACAGCAGTAACGGAAGGATGGAAGGACCGCCCCCGACATACAGCGAGGTCATGGGGCGTTACCCAGGCTCCTCTTTTTTCCATCACCAGCACAGCAACACGCCCCCCTCGCAGAGGGGGAGCAGACTTCAGTTTCAGCAGAACAATTCGGAGAGCACAATAGTCCCCAGCAAAGGCCAAGAGCGGAAACCAGGAAACCTGGTGTAAGCTCCTCGCCCAGGTGCACTTGAACTGAAGATGAGAGATGCAAGCAGGGTGGTGGAGGAAGACTCCCGTGCTCTGGTGCACAATGTTGTTACGTTTCACGTGGTACAACTTAGTAAAACCAAACGTGCAAACCAGTTCTTTGTTTCTGATTCCTTTCAGGGGAATTGCATGCAAAGCAGATGGAAAGAAATACAGACTTCCATTCAGTTTGTCTACGAGCAGTGTTTCAGGGGAGAGGGGGGAATATATTATTTTTTTTTTAAATAAACTATTTCAATTATTTAATTCTAAAAGTTAACTTAGCACAGAAATGAGGCTTGTGCAGCCTGTTTTATACTCACTGAATGGCAGAAGGAAGACGGTGGTATTGCTAGGTAAATGGGGGAAGAATTGGCCAGTTTGCTTTTATTTTCTCTCCCAGGGTGTGGATTTTTTTAATATGAAACAAAATTCCTGTTTTGTGTGCCAAGGTATAAAGTTGAGAACTTAGGTGAATGCAAGGAATTAATTTGTGTTGTGATAAATGTGTTTTAAAAAGTTGCACTATCTTAATGTTTTAAAAAAAATATATATGAGGGAACTGTTTTATGTAAAGTTCTTCTATATGTTGTCTTTTCACCTGTGGAATAATGATAGAGCCCCAGAAGTAATCTGGAGGAGTTTGCCCCCCTCCCCCTGGCTTTGCTAGAAAAAGGGGACAGGACTTAGCCTAACATCTCTTGACTTTTACAAATCGAGAAATACAGGGATGCTTGTCTTTGCAATAATTTGCGTTCAAATAACAGTGCATCAATGAAGTGTCTTGGAGACTTCTGGATGGAAGAAGGCAAATATGAAATCCCAGCATTTTCCATCCCTTAGAGTTTAGCTATTTTGCAGTGTAGACTATTTGTTTCGTAAATGGCAAAACAAAATCCCAGATGTGTTAATTTGTATTGATTCTAACTAAGCGCTGCCATTCTTTTCCTTCTCACAATGCAGTATCGCCAGTACGTACAGTTCTAGAGATTTTTGTCCTCGCTGTAGCCTGAAATGTATTTAGTCACATATCATGACATTATGCAATAAATCATTTAAAAATGCAAGGTGGGCTTTTTTTCCCCTGCAGTGCTGTAAAGCTACATGAGACTCTGTTGTGCTTTTTGCTCTGTTTCATCCTTTAGATGCTGACATTCAGTCCTGGAGATCCATCCCGTTGAAGTGAAGGGGCCTTTGTAGCTGTAACACCTCCCCCCCCTCCCCTTGCAGTTTCCGCAGCAGCACCAAGAGCTTCTGGGGCACCTCTGGCAGTGACATGGGAGCGCCATGGACTTTCCCACTCCAAACCACTTCGCTCTGGGCCCTGCTGCGGAAACCCTCTTCTATGCGCTGGGTGACGCCAGCAGGACTGTGCTTGTGGGTGAAGGTGACTTTCGTATTAACCAAGTGTCTGAAAAGCCCTAGTTTTGCTGTGCTGGTCGTAAGAGTAGTTGGGAGTCGTTGCCTGGCTGTGGAGTGGCGCGTGGGGTGTTTCCTCCCTGGCTGTTCTAGTGTGGAAGTAGGTGCAGGGCTGGGAGGCAGTTGGCAAACGGTGACAGCGGCATCACAAGCACATGAAAAAGCACAACTTGCACTTGAAATGCATTTTGGAAATGGACTTAAAGAACCTTTAGACTCTTAGCTCGAATAGTTTCTAATATATATGTGTATGTGTGGGTGTCACAGACCTTTTCACTTTAAGATCTTTCACTTTTTTTCTATTTTCTCAAGCCTAGTGCTTGGCTACGGGCAGCAGCCACTGAGTGCCCTGAGCGCTGCGGAGGAGCACCGTGCCCTCGCCTACGGTCCCGTGGCCAGAGGCTGGGTTTCTGCAGGACTTGTGTGCACCGGGGGCTCTGATAACTGAAGTGCATCTTTGATCTATGCAGAGTTTTAATGCCAAAACAGTATGCGTGTCTGTGTGTGTGTTTTATGGGCCTCAGCGTAGATTATTTTCTTCATAAGATAATTTGGTTTTATTCTTATTTAGAACATGTTTGTGTAATGGTTAGTCTGGATATGCAGCCTCATTTGTCTCTGTAATTGTTTTCTCTTTTTTTGTCTGAGTCATGCTGGTAATGTGGAGTAAAGCTGCCTTTTAATTTATCTGTCGTTTGAAGGGAGAGATAGAGATTGTATGATGGGATTAACTTTGTTTTTACACTCAGACTCACAGGACAGGTGTTTAGGAAACGACTAGGTGGCTCTCAGTCAGCTGGAGCTCTTGTCATGCCTGGTTCCTGGGAATAAAAGCTGTGACATTAGATTTTTTTGCAAACAACCTATGAACATAATTCTTAACTTGAAACAAACATGAGACAAAACCAGAAAATGTTGGGTTTGGTCTTCAGTGACTTTTGTTGTCCTTCAGAAGTGAGCTTTTAAGTTGGAGTGTGTGTGCCTACACAGATACTGCGCTGTTGCCTGAATGAGGATTATTTAGCCGAGAAGCCTTTAGGTGAGGACAGCAGGAACTCATTTGTCATGGCAGAGCACGCCTGGGCTTGAATGGAGTCAGTACCAACTCTCCCCATGCACAGATCTCAGCAAAGCGAGCCTTGAAGTTGCCTTCAGAGTCACCTCTTGGGCACACACGTCCTTTGAAGACGGCCCTTTGCCACCTCTGCGTGCCAGTGGATTTGTGCACTTCCCATTAACACTGTCTACTATGATGCGTGTGCGGTTGTCTCTTAATTCTTCTTGACCGAGGAAATTTTACTTTGTGTGGAAAACGTATCCTGTTCCAGTTCTGTAGACAAGATTTGTTTAAGAAGAACTTAGTATTTGCTCACCTAACGGTTGCATTTCCTCTTGCATCTTTCCCTTCTCATTGTATTCTGCTGTCCAAAGCTAACATGGAGCCAGTCTCCCTGTCAGCTCTGAAAGTGCAGTCACCTCTTGCTTGCTATAGGTCAGCTTGCTGCTTTTGCTTTGGGACCTCTTGTTAGGAGAAAATATGGTATTTTCTGATGAATATTAGTGATCTCCAATGGGGGTGCTGTTGACAGTGTAATGTTGCAAAAGCATGTGTTTTCTTTCAATTTTTTTTTATTTGTTGCAGTGAAAGAGAATATGCCCTTGTTAACAGAACAGAATGGTAAAAGAGGGACTATCAGAGTTAGATAGCACTATCAGTCTTCAAAGGCTTAGAAATTGGCAAAGTCTGAAGACAGGTAATTCTCTCAAGCACTTATGGAAAACTTGCTTTGAAAATATCCAGAATTAATGAATTGTATTACACAGCCACTCAGATGAAGCTTTGTAAGTTGTTAAAGATTTCTGCCAACATTGTAGAGTTAATCATGTAGATCATACCTCCATACTGGTGTTTTGGTTTGTGTATCATGCACAAACCCCACATAATATACGTGTGGAGTTTTCGATGTGATGGATCATATTAGCCTGAATTCTGGTTGCATCCCCTGACCTTTGCCTAGTAGCCCATCTTCCCAAAATTCAGACCAGTGATGTCCCCACTTTAGAAATTTTCAAGAAATAAAGCATTATGACCTCTATCTGACCACAAAGGTTAATTTTTCCCTTATGTGTCTTGGCATAGCTCCCTTCGTGGTGCTAACCATGCCCCATCTTTGGTGTTTTCCTATGATCTTGCAGGGCTAGAAAAGACAGCGGGTTTAGCAACAGAAAAGAGGTTTCTCTTGTAGTTTCCCAATGGAGCACTTGGCACTTAGCTTAATTCTGGGTAACTTAGCCTGATTGTGGTCGGGTTCATCTCAGTGCTGTACAAGCAAACTGTGTGTGTGACACTGCTTAAAAGATGTGAGGAATGTGAAGAGCTGTACCCAGGCAGTGGAGCAGGGTTGCAGGTCCCGTTCCTGTAGTGTGTGATACGTGCAGAAGTCACCCTACTTTGCGTAATGGGTTGTTTTTTGTCAGGGAGGACCTATCTAGGCTACTCCTAGTCTTGTCCCTGATGAACTCTGCGCTTCACCCAGTCTGTCTGATGTGACTTTGTTACAGCAATGCATTTCCCTTGTAAGTGTGAAAACTCGGATGTGTGCCCTGTGTACAAGTTCTTGAGGAAGTTGTTTGTTCCTGCACTCATGGAGTCTGTGGGTGACGTTGTGCTTCGTTTGAAAATGACATTGTTTCTGACAGCATGCACTTTCTTTGCAGTAGGGAAGAAAGCCTTGTGCTGATGGAGAGTCCTGTGCGTAGGCTGGCTGGGACAGCGCTGTCTGAAGTGGCTGTTCCTACCCCTGCCAGGCAGTGAGATATTGGACCCTAAAACTGACACTCTGATCTGTGAGCAGTGTTTGAGCGGCTTGGAGAAAATGGATTACTGACCTTCCTCTGACTCTGAGCCCTGAATGCTCACGGTAACTAAGGTAACCTGATTTCATAGGTAAAAGAAGAAAATAGTATGCTGATGAAAACAGATCTGCTCCAAAATTGTCCTTTGTTTCTTTTCATTTTTCCCCTTCCCCCAAGGATAGACTGTAGGCTTGCTGATACATCTGAAGGTATTTATGATTATTTACAAGTTCATGGCTATATATTGTGCTCTCAGGAGCAGTGGCAGGTCATTTGTCAAGCAGCTGGAGGCATGAGGAATATTGGCTTTTCAGTCCTGTCAAAGTCTTGGCCCTGTTTTTATCCGTAGGGGAGTTTCTTGCTATGCAAATTCCTGCCCATCACCATCCTGGTGTGCTCGTGCATCTTCCATCCAACAGCTCTCTCCTTTTGGGTGAGCTTTGAAAAATCCTTCTGCTTTTGGGACAACCTTAACGTAGACCTCATGTATTGATGTACAGGAAGGAAATGTACCACATCTACTCTAAATCTCAGAAGAGCGTTTTTTTCAGACCTAGCTGAGAACCCAGGGATCTGTTTGTACAGTGGGTTCAGATGAAGGCTGGCTTTTGAATACATGTTTGGTTTTTAGATAAAGGCTGTTGCAAATAATTTAATTACACGTGTCTGGTCTTTTCTCACACTGTGTTGTCTGCTTGCCAACCAGTGCAATTACAACTTTTCTCCTAACCTAGCCCCAAATGTGTCAGTTGTTTAAATTCCTGGAAAGGGGCACTCTTACCAAACTGTCCGAGACCTGTTGAGGCCTTTTAGAGCATGGAAAAGTCCTTTGTGAGGATGT